GAGAAAAGCTGTCAACCGTTGTCTTGTAAACTTACCACGGCAGAGTAATTAAACATCTACACCACTGAAAGTATTGCATCCAGATGCATCTGTTTAGCGGATTTCAAACATCTAACATTTTCCGTGTAGGTTCCGTGGCCCCATTGTCGGGGGAAATAGGTCCATTGCTTCTCTAACAAGCGCGTCGTACCAGTGGACTAACTGAGCACTTCCTTAGAAGTCGGAGTGCATTTGCCTGAGAGGCAAGGAACCAACAATCGGCATACAATTAAATCAGATCTGTTAAACGGATTAAAGGTTAAAAAGGTTAAAGGTTGGATGATCGACTTTATTACACCAGGTTTTATCCCATATGGCTCTGTCTCTCTCCGCAGAACGGCTCGCCGACTACCAAGAGCGTCGCACACTGCACGAACTTTGTAGCTCCGGCGAAGATCGTATGCGATCTCCGTGAAAACTGCACTCGTGAACTGAGCGACGCAGTAGAAACGGATATGCATAGAACAATCGGGATCTGAAACAAGACTGAAGTCCAGAGGTGGACAAACAACCAAAACTTCCCGCCGAAGTTTAAAGCCAGTATGTGAATACTACTAATTAATTCACCCTATTGTTGTTGTCCCCCCCCCCCCCCACCCCCCTCCAGCCCACTGACACTCCCTGCCGCAACACTCTCTCCACATGCAGGTTTTCAGTATCTGCCATTTTACTTGTTACATCACCCCCACAGTCGAGAGATCACCCCTGCCCTGTGCAGTTGCAGTACACCTCCAAGTCCTGCAAACCTATTGGCCTGTTCATTACCAAAACACGCCTGAGTGGCTCGGTCATATTACAAGATAGCGAATCTTCTTCTTTGCTCACTGTAAGCTCCGGTGGAAAGTCTTGGTTCTTCGTCCATCTGAACTGTGGCTTTGTGCCAAGGCCTGAGTTTTACGTGCACATTCGTTTTATTTTTACCCCAAATTAGTCGACTCCTACGTCATGCTTGTTAGATAGGCAGTGGGTTTATTCTTGCCCCACCCCTCCCCCACTACGAGGTCCCGTAACCCACACTGGGGGGGGGGGGGGGGTAAGGTAGCGAATGGCTTTCATAAGACTTTTGCAGTCACTCAGAGAATACTAGGACTTGTTCTGACAGCGAGCTGTACACAATTACCTACACACTGACACAGAACAATCATTTCGCCTTGCATATATCCACCCTCCGCCCCCCCCCCCCACGGAAAGCAGGCTGAAGTATTGGCACCCATTGTCTCACCTTCCACTATTCGAGTGCTAATCCACCTCGAGCAAATGCTACACATCACGTCCAACAGCACAAAACAGTTTCATTGGATTGGATGTAACATATAGCGAAGTCTTTTCTTCTACCGCGAGCAGCAGGACAATGGAGCTCATGGGTGTGACAAAGGCCCTAGAGTGACTGAATGCTCAGGAATTCACCAATGCATGTTTGCTCACCAACTCAATGAGCATGCCAGAGAAGATCAAGACGGGGTACATACAGAAACAGTGGCTCCATCTTGTACAGCACGCAGCATTTGGCAAAATCACCTTCATTTATGTCCCCTGGAATGCTGGTGTGAAAGGCAATAAGAGAGGAGACGGTCTGGCTGGCAATGCGACTGCTAGGAATGGGCCCTCTATGTACAGGAGAGACATTATCAATGCCATACGAGAGACTAAACGCTAAGAGGCTTTCGGTTTCGTGGACAATTATTTTTCATTGAATAGATTGTATACCATAAATATGATCTGATATAACTTGCTGTCCTATAGATTATGCAACTAGCCGGACAGCAGTGCAACTGCTGTCGGGAATTTGTCCGTTCAAGTCATTTTGTGTATTCGTGTCTGTAGATGTGGTTTTGTTGGTTTATGTAATGTGCTGATGAAAGCTATGTAGCCGCAACATCCACGTTCCGTTGTGTTTTTTATTTTGTGCAGCTCGATGTTTTTCTTTTCGTTTGGTTTTATATCTTTTCATGATAGTCCTATAGGTTATCCAGCAGTAGCTAATGAATAATCGAGTGACATTCGCTTCCACCATACAACAACAGTGTTGGCACTGATATCTGCCAGTTCAGACTGGGTAGTTAAAAACAAACAGTCTTAAACTGACACTTTTCTGGCGCTAGATTCATATTATAATGCGTCGGCTTAAAAATTCTAGCGGACGGAAACCTTTAGGAAAAGTATCCACCATCTTTACGTGGGTTATCTGATACTTTGCTAAAGGGTGGCTTCTTATTAATATGCGGCTGACTGTTTCTTAGTTGCATTATAAAATTCTTGTTCAAATAAACTGCAAAACCTAGGCTGTTGTAATGATACATATGTTTAACAACAACAATAATGTAAAAAAAAAAAAAAATTTTCTCAGCCCGGCCAGACAGCTACCACGCCACGCTCCACACAAATGTCTGCTTCCGGTACGTCCGACCTTGAGATTACAGCCGTATGTTTTTCAAATATAATAAGAATTCTCAGTCTTATAGTGTTGTTATACTTTTTGTTTTCTATTACATATACAATCTCCGCCATTATTTTCAAAAAAGTAACACTATAAAAAACAGTAACAATGTATATCAAATTTCCAAGATCAAATTTACAACCATTGCCCGACCCGCCAACCGACTCCCAGACTGCAAATGTTTCATTCAGGGCTGCAGCGTGACCTACTTTCTGTCAGAGGCAACGAGGCCGGGAAACCTCGTGAACCAGGACGACAGGCGTGATGTGCTCTTGACAGGATTGGCTCCTCCTTCACAGAGATCGACAAGGTGTCAATAAAGACTGGGCTAATCATGTTAAACTACCAGCGTCCAATGAGTGGAAGCATTTTTAATTTTAGCTAGCACGTTTATAGTCTGTTTCTGTCAAATGTTTGCGTCGATCTGGATTTCAGGAAATTTGAGTTCTTTCAAGGAAATTGAATGCCTGAGAACTATGGTCTAAATATAACATCTAAATATAACACACGACACAACGAGCATTAAAATTATACACATGCTGAGTGAACAAGGGGGAGAATTAGTTGTTGTTTTTTTCTCTTTTAAAAAACGTACTGACTGACTCACGAGAAATTAACAATGTAGTCAATAAAGACAGTATATTTGCAATGTAACTAGAAAACAATGCAAACATATGGGAACTGGGTTACGTGTTCGGTAAATATCAGTTCTTCTTCGCGTTCACCAGCTGTAAACTCTGGCAGAATGCTCTGGTTGTTCTCCCACTTCTGGACTGCAGTCCATTTCCAGAACCTGAGTGTTGCGTGTGTATTCGTTTTACAGATCTGACTCATTTGTATGCAGACTGCTGGTTCCTTGCCTCTCAGGCAGATGCGCTCCAACTTCGAGGTAAGCTCCCAATTAGTCGACTCTTACGACATGCTTTTGGGTAGGCAGTGGGTCTACTCTTGTTTTCCCTATAATAGGGTCCTGGAAAATATCAGCTTAAAAAGGCAGATGCCTTCTTCTTCTTTGTCTTCTTCGCGTTTACCAGCTTAAACTCTGGCGGACAGTTCCTGCTGTTCCTCCGCTTTTGGACTGCTGTCCTGTTCCAGAACCTGAGTGTTGTGTGTGCATCAGTTTTACAGATCTCATTCTCTTGAATACAGACTGTTTGTTCCTTGCCTCTCCGGCAGATGCACTCCGACTTCAAAGGAAGCTCCCCAATTAGTCGACTCTTACGACATGCTTTTGGGGAGGCAGTGGATCAATTCTTGTTTCCCCCACAATGGGACCCCAGAACCCACACGGGGGGAATGGATGTGAAAACAAACGCTTGAGGAGAACGTCGAACTCGAACATACAATGTGATGTTTTCAAGAAGAGTTAAGCAATGAGAGAAATGTCTGGCCAACTACCGGTCATATCATCAGACAGAGCCATAGTGGATATATCATGAGAAGAAACGACCAGCAGAGAATCACCAAACAGGCATAAGAATGGGGAATAAAGGAACTTACGTATCGAGAACGTCCAACAGAAACCCTAAAAGAAACGATGACGAGAGAGGTCAAAGCTGCTTGATTGGATTCTATCCATGGTTTAGAAGGCATTGCACAGGATAGAACGGAATGGAGGAACAGCCTTCAAGCTCTACGGGGACTTATTATGACATAATGGGACAATGATAATGAAGATGATGATGACGATGATGATTATTATTATTATTATTACGATGATGATTATGATGATGATGATAATGATGATGCCAATGATGATTATGATGATGGTGATAATGATGATGCCAATGATGATTATGATGATGCCAATGATGATTATAATGATGATGCCAATGATGATTATGAAAATGATGATAATGATGATGCCAATGATGATTATGATGATGATGATAATGATGATGCCAATGATGATTATGATGATGGTGATAATGATGATGCCAATGATGATTATGACGATGATGATAATGATGATGCCAATGATGATTATAATGATGATGATAATGATGATGCCAATGATGATTATGATGATGATGATAATGATGATGCCAATGATGATTATGATGATGATGATAATGATGATGCCAATGATGATTATGATGATGATGATGCCAATGATGATTATGATGATGGCGATGATGATGATGATGACGATGATGTTGATGATGATATTAATGAAGATGATGATGGTATTAATGAAGATGATGATGGTAATAATGATGATGATGATGGTATTAATGATGATGATGGTGATGGTAATTATGATGATAATGGTATTCATGATGATGATGATGGTATTAATGATGATGATGGTATTCATGATGATGATGATGGTATTAATGATGATTATGATGATGATGCAGATGAAAACGCACTTGTGAAGATAAAAATTTATGATTTAAAAATAATCATACATAAGCGCCGGCTCACAAAACAAACTACAATAGCTCGAATCTGCTGACGGCTGGGTATAAGAAAGCTACACAGACTCGAGAGAACTGACACTTAGCCTTAAAGTATTCTGTACCTCCAAGTCCATCATGGCGGACTGCAGCCTGGCTGTGTAGCCACCAGTGTACGGGTGTGTTTCCTCGACGGCCATCACCACTATACCACCTTGTGAAAACAAAACAAAAACAAAAAAAGTAATTGTGTAGCAGGGAATAAAGTTAGTGGCGTATCCTTTACAGGACATTTGTAGAATCAACCCCAGCACTCTTTGGCTGTTGTGGTTTTTCTAGGCAAATGTGCGTCTAGTAGTTTGCCATTGCTTTCTTGAAGCAGGGAATAACAGTTTTCAAAAAGGTCATTGACACGCTAGGGCCGCATCGGCTAGTCACATTTTTGTATGGACCACGTGATGAGTGATGTAGTCACCATCATGCCGGTCGCCTTTGCTTTCAAAAGGGCTTCACCTGGTACCCATTGAAGGCTGGGTCGAACTGGCAGCCAATTTTATGCATGAAAAATATATATCTAATAGTAGTAGCGTTACTTTACAATCACCGCTACATCAACCACCTTGTCACAGATACATAGAAGTAGCTGTTTAGTAACTGCTGCGAAGGAGATCGTGTTGTAGTGGCGAGTGCAGCTGCTGTGATAGAGTCGGTGGAGCAGTGTGGACTCTTTGGTGGTACAGTGATTATTGCAGCTTTGGTGGTACAGTGATTATTGCAGCTTTGGTGGTACAGTGATTATTGCAGCTTTGGTGGTACAGTGATTATTGCAGCTTTGGTGGTACAGTGATTATTGCAGCTTTGGTGGTACAGTGATTATTGCAGCTTTGGTAGTACAGTGATTATTGCAGCTTTGGTGGTACAGTGATTATTGCAGCTTTGGTGGTACAGTGATTATTGCAGCTTTGGTGGTACAGTGATTATTGCAAATTTGGTGGTACAGTGATTATTGCAGCTTCGGTGGTACATTGATTATTGCAGCTTTGGTGGTACAGTGATTATTGCAGCTTTGGTGTTAAAATGCCTAGTGTTTGACGGTCATTGATATACCGGGACGCTTGAAAAATGGGAGATTTATTCACATGGGAACCCCCACCACTCCCCCTTTTTTCACCCCCCCCCTCCTTTTTTCTCTCACCACCACTGTTCCTAAAGGAAACATTTCTCAGTAGGGAGGGGGTACCTCAAGCCCCCCCCCCCACCCCTAAATCTGTAAATGTGTACAAGGGCTAAACCCCCCTCCCCCCCCCCCTTCTCTCTCTCTCTATCTCTCTCTTGCCTCCTTATTGAACGTGGTCAAACTTTTATTTTTGTAAATATATTATTCGTAGTAAATTTTTTTGTTGTTGCTGTCGACATTATTGTTGTTGTTATTATTATTATGAAACACTTACACAAGGCTTAGAGTCTTCCCCGTCTGGGTTCAGGGGCCCCATTGTGGAGAAAATGAGAATAGACCCCCTGCCTCCCCGCTAAGCATGTCGTAAGAGTCGACTAATTGGGGGTTTCCTGCGAAGTCGGAGTGGTCTGCCTGAGAGGCAAGAAACTAACAGTCTCCATAAAATAAGTCAGTCCTGTAAAACTGGTGTGCACCCAACACTGAGGTACTGTAACAAGTCTGAAGTCCAGAGGTGGATTAACAAACTGAACTTGCCGCCAGAGTTTACAACCGGTGAACGCAAAGGCTTAGACCGCCCCTCCCCCTGAAGCCCTCCACTTAAAAAAAATATTCAACACCCTCCCCCCCCCCCCCTTTTTGTTCCCCCAATCACCGTCACATACAATGGATTGTATTGTTATGTTTTTGTGGTGGCGCCCCTGGTGGTATAAAAGTAAAACAATTATTATCGGATGCATTGTTCACGGAGCTGTAATGTTATCGTTATCAGTGAATCCCATGTGTATTGTGACATCAGAAGTGACATTTTTAGGTTTCCATGAACATTTTAGAAGGCAATACATCGCCACCGATAAATGTAATAATTCATACAGTTTATAACTACAGTTACATTTACAATGTTCATATTAAAAAGTTTCCAGAAATGGGTTATCTCTATAGAGAATTGTATATTTGACTGGTTCTTTTCAGTAGGAATTTTTTTTTTCTACGTGTTTTGTCTTTGAATGTTTATTCCAGCAGAGATTAGAGCCAAAGTAACAATGACATAAGTACTCGTTTGCTAGACAGAGCTTTACTAAGAAAATACTGCCAACTGTATGAGAACAAAATAATAATGGTAATGGACTTAATAAAACCCATACTGTTGCTTGCACATGTTACATGAGCAATTAACAGACTCACTGGTAAACTTCTAATAACAGTGGGGATATGGTTTTTAAGCATCAGGAAGAATACGTTGTAGAGACTGATGCACAGGCGTAATTCGTATAGACGACTAAAAAATGTCAGTGATATTTGTTTTAAAACTAAAATATTAAAAATTAAGATATATTTTTTCTACAGATAGTATGTTAGTTAGTCAGTTAGTTGGGTTATCATCATTGCACTCCGGACATGTCCATAGGTGCTCATATCCTCCCCTCAGTATGAACCCCAACGTCCGATGGCTAATAGTACCAGTTCTGTGTTGATTAACAAGTCTTCTGGTGTGTCTGGTATGCGTCTCGGTTTTTGCTATGCCGATCTTAATTTCCAAGTCTGCCATTCTGGCGAGTGATGTGGATTCACTGCCCCCAAAGTCCTCTATCCTTCCCATTTCTCTGAGGGCATTAATAATATCAGCATGATCCATAGGCTGTGTCACGATACGATCTCAGTGGTTCCAGAAGTTAGTACTTGTAATAAGTTCTTCTGGTTCTAAAGAGAGAGGATTATATTTACTCTGCCCTTTACCCTAATATTACTTTAACCCAAAACTGATTTAAATGTTTCCAGTCCTTCTCCGAGACAAAGCCACTGCGCTTTGTTTAAAATGACATAACACTACGTAATACAGCCCGCTGGTTCAGGATAGGGATGTTATGTTTGATTTTCATGCCAGTGTCAGAATGTTATCTCCTGACTAGATCAGGGGAATTGAGTGGACTCTAGACATTGTGGCGACGAGAGGTTTAAGTAACACGTCAGTGTAATTCTCAAGAGAACAGGTGTTTGGCAATTACGAATGTTTGATCTGGGTCAAGTAGTAAACACAATGGCTTCACGGACCGTTTTCACACCGGCTAGTTAGATTTGTTGTAAACTAGATTGGGTCACTTAAGACTGTTTGCTCTAGGGATGTCAGTCCAGAATTGAGTGACAGGCCACTTGTTAGCCAATTTGATCTCATAGTTACCTCAGAGGCGTGGCTTAAGTCATCGTCTTGAGGGTTGGGTAGAACCGAGGAAAGGGAGGAGATTAATTTGGACAATAGATTGATACTTATACTTCGAGCCTGTGGAATTCCCGTCATTAATCGCAGCCTGCCGGCAAACAATCACAGGTCGACGTAAAGGTATTTTACGGTCGCATTCTGGTTTGGCGATAGATGGAAAGTTCCCAGGTGAATATTAATTTATCGTGTATACTTAGGTTAGGGAGTTAAGCTTAGTCTATACTACCTTTTCCTAATTTGTCTGCACATTCTGCTTGAAATAGTTCTTTGTGAGTATTCAGTATCTCAAGTTAGGGAACTGCTAAACTATTCCTATTTCTTGTATGATTGTGTCACATGTTTTTCAGTGTATGTTTCCATGTGTATAAAATAAGATGTGAACCATGACATTTGCTATAATGAAATGTAATTATATTGTTTCCACCATCTACCAAAATATGAGTTTGGACTGTGGGAAATCATGCCCATATGTGCAGGGATGCTGCTACGTTTTGTGTGCCCACCATGTGCTCACTTAATGTGTTCACCTAAACAGGGGATTTATAACCCCAGGGGAAGAATGATGGGTTTGCAGTATTTACTGTCACTGAAAGATAATATTCAGGACAGCATGCACAGATAAAATGGTTGGAGTTTCAGCACATAACCTGCCCCACGTGTTGATGGAAAACCAATGATTGGAAGTCTGAGTGAAGACGGACAACAGACTTAGAAAGTCAACTATCATGACATAGCATGAGAGAGGAAGGCAGGATATGTGACGTCCATGTAAGACTAAAGACCTTCAGACTAGACTGGAGAGAATGTGGAATATGATGAGTGATGGGATATATTTTATTCTTATATGTTATATTAATTGATACATGTATTCTTAGTGTAAGTCAAGATACTACACGTATGTGTTTGTTTCCATGATTACAGCGCCCATGTGACGATCAGTCCATGAAAGAGACTACATTGTGTTAGACTCGGCCAGCTGGGAACGAGGTGGGGGCGAGGAGGAGAAACAAGCAGGGAAGAAGCTGGAAGAGGAGGAAGAGCTTGACAGTGCTCACGACTGTCAGAGGTTCTATGAAACACAAGTTATGTTCATAAATTGTTCATACTTTATCACCTTCATCACACCACTCTAATCCCAGGTGCTGTTCTCGCGCTGAAACAACCCATTACTATCATAACTTTAGCTAGTCACTGTTTGTGTAAACACAACAAACTGGGTATGTCAATTAACTGATTGTTAGAAAATAAAGCTGTATGTCAAGTTTTATACTACATCGTTTGTTAAATTCCAAGTGTATTCAATCTTACCTGTTTTCTAAACTGATAGATAGAAGTGCATTTGGTGGGGGCTCAAATAATATGATAATAATTCTTTAATTATTAATAATAACACCGGGAGAAGGTAGATGACGGAGGAATCATTTGCCCTGTCTAATAATTCATTAAGTATAATGCTATAGACATCTAAAATTCCTTTTCTTCTCTTGTGGGTACCAAGTTCAGCTAATGTTAATGTACTTAACGAGCCAATATGGCTGTTTTCTTGGATATCCATTACTTTGTCTGAGAGCAACATAGCTCAGATTTTAGTTCGGTTTATCTGGTGGAGGGAATGTGTTGAGAGGAACATCCCTACTCAACATTATAAACATTTTAAACCACCCGTCACGTTACAGGCTGACCGTCGGTAGTGATAGCGGATCCAGCCAACCTATCAGCTCTTTCTACAGATAGTATGTATGGAAACCAATCGTAGATATCTTTCATGGATACTATAGACGTAGAAAAGTAGACTTATTACAGATGGCTTTAAATACTTAGATGGCATGCAGTGATTGTATCACTGCGTGATCTGGTTTATGATTAAAAATATAACGCAACTATGATTTGTTCCTCTAAACGTTTCTGTTAATATACTGGATTGTTAAAACATTAAATTTAACCACCGGTATTTCAGATGTTGTGACGTCCACATAATAAAAGTCGTCATAGGGTTACCACTATTGATGTCGCCTCCCAGGCTTGCAGTCATGAGTTCTCTGTGACAATGAGAGTCTCGTGACCACGTGATTGAGTACGCACCCAGCTTCGTAAAAACTGGTGCCTCCCATTAGGCAGGTGATTATATATTATGTTTGTATCCTGTGTCTATTATCTTGTATCCCACAGATTGACGAATACAAGAACAGTGCCAGTTGTGGATTGATAACATTGACGGGTGCATATTTTAATTGCACAGCTTTTAATAGTGTTTCATCAGGTGCATCATACTTAATTTACATCAATGTAATAGTGTGGCGAGAGTTGAAAAGCAACGGTAGCTCTAGATTAGCAAAAATTATGTCAATTTTCAACAGATGTCTTAGAAGAATACCAAATATCCATTGGATAGATTTCAAATCCCATACTAAAAAAAAAAAAAAAAAAGAGACCAAGCAACACAATGTATCCAGTTGTATACGACAGCACCGCTGAAACTACATCGGCCATGCACTCAGAATGAGTAAGACCAGACTCTCATAACATGCCCTCATATGGACACCGGAAAGGAAAGGAAAAGAAAACGGCGAAGACCAAGAGAGATCCTGCGTAGAACCATCATCAGGAAATGCTCTACCATGGGCCTAATGAACATCCAGGACCTAAAGCAGGTGGCAATGAACCGCCAGACATGGATCTTTGACCTCTGCCCTAGGCTCAAGAGGAAAGATTAACTACTATCAGTGAAGCACACAAATAATACTGAACACTGAAATAAATAGATCACGTATGTCCCTTGCCCCATTTTACATATTACATAACGGAAGTATTAGAGGTTTAAGGTTTTAACAACAGATCAACATCATGGCACAAGGGTAGTAATCCATAACTGCTCCGGTGTACCTCTAACTCAAGCCTGAGTCCAAAGAATCTCAGCGCAGTGCACGAACTCTGTAGCACCGTTAGGCTACTCTTCTAGATTTCTAACTGCCAATACACACAGACGCCGGATCTCACTACCCAGAGACAAGGGGAAACTACTAGAAGTCTTTTTACGTGAAAAAATCCCAGCCTTCACCGGGGCTTGAACCCGGGACCTCCAGCACTCGATACAGACGCTATGCCCTGAGACCACTCAGCCCCCACTGAAGTATTAGCTGAAACCCGTAGTCTGTTTGTTTACACAATGTAGGATTGTCCATTGTTATTCCTACTGATTCCCTATACCTGTTAAAAACCCAGACGATACAATCCTAGTCAACAGCAAACATCTGAATACAATATTACTGGTTGCAAAGAGGGGGGAGGGGGGAACCACTGCTTTGAATGGTTTAATCTCATTTGCAGAATCTACATTCATTTAAAGCCGACTGAAATGTGGAATCGAGTTTAAAAGCAATGCTTCTGTGTTATGCACTGAGCGACAAAGGATAAATGTGTTCAAGCTTTCATTCACGTCCTATACGGTGTGATAAGATTTATTGAAGATTGTTCAAATGTTGTGGATTATATGTCCTACCTACCAAACTGCTGCCCAGAAGAAGATAATAGCGTTTATTATAAACGTATTAAAACCTAAACTAAATTCTCTGAAAAGGTGATGAGAAGGAGAAAACTGGAATACATCGTGATAGTAGCTCACCTGGTTTGCATAGCCTAATTAGTTCAGAGAGACCTTCAAGAGGAATACGCTGGCCCAAAATCTCTTGCATCCACACCACAATGTCATACATACCTGCAACATGAATTAAGGACTGACCTAGTAAATAATTATACGCATAAGCACGACTATCACAAATGTTCTCTAAAATGTTCTGTAGCTTAGTGAATGCATTTCACAATTTCATGATCCTCAACATATTAGGGTTAGATTTTCACAGCCGATGGTGTATGTTTTTTTTTAAAAGTTGCTTGTGGGCAGTGGTACGAGAGCATCACCGCAGTAGTGATTAGGACCTTACCATGTAATATTCACAAAGAATACTATTACACAAAATTTACTTAGATGCGAAAGCTTTAGAAATGGAGATCATCACGGGCCAGAGGACCGATGACCTAACAAATAAAAATTCTTCCTCTTCTTCTTTTGGGAGTGGCTGTGACTTTAGCGGCTAGACACCCGCCGATGGATCGGAAGGTCGTGGGTTCGCGTCCTGAAGGAGCTGGCTTTTTTTTTTTTTTTTTTGAACTTGACTCCCAACTCGACCAAGCCTTGAGTGGGTACCAGATGCAGTCTTGTGAAGTAAAGGCAGTGGGCAATGTTGTCTCTAGTATGAACTTCACTGTCTTTTGTAACTCACTTAGCGGCCCGTAAAGTTTAGCTTCCCCCAGTGTCTCTCTAGGCCAGAAGTTTTACCTGGAAATGTTGTATTTGAGACTGTCTTATAGAACGTCTTCTACTTCTTCTTCGCGTTCACCAGCTGTAAACTCCGGCGGAAAGTTTTGGTTGTTCAGCCACCTCTGGACTTTGGACTTATTCCAAACCCCGAGTGTTGCGTGCACATCCGCTTTACAGATCTGACTTATTTATATGCAGACCGTTGGTTCATTGCCTCTTAGGCAGATGCATCTCCGACTTCAAAGGAAACCCTCATTAGGTGGACTGACGACGTGCCTGCTGTGGGTCTGTTGTATTCCACACAAGGAGACCCAAGAACCCAGAGAAGAAATAAAATATCTAAAAATAAGGTGCCGATACTCAAAACAAAGTGTCTCCTACAGTGGCGCCACAAAAACTGATCTTTTAAAAAGGTGTCTGTACTGCGTACCGTTGCGTATAGTCAGAAAAGTACCTTTTACATATATAATAAAGGTAACGTGTATTATTATGAAAATATCAGCGTTATTCACAATATCAAATTTTGAAGAATATATATATATATATATATATATATATATATATATATATATATATATATATATATATATATATATATATATATATATATATATATATATAAATGCTTGTGTTGTGTGTGTGTGTGTGTGTGTGTGTGTGTGTGTGTGTGCACTCTCTATTTTCACCCCTCAAAGGTGAGTAAAGATTCGACATCATGGCATTTGGGACATCCTTACAGGCACTCCATACCCAGCTTCAGCAGCAAGCACAGAGTTCCCATTCCGATGGTAGCCCTAATAGTCTGACTGCATGTCATCTCCCCTTTCCGTTGAACGTGGACCACACCCCAGAGTCAGTCCTTGAACTTTGTGTGCCTCTGCACTTTTCACTCGCTCCATAAGGGCAACATCTATCTGGTTATGAATTCATTTACGAAAATGTGGCACAGAATCAGCTAGTCTGTCTTACTGTTCGTTTCCTGTCACACCTGCTTTCCCTGGATAAAAACCCGGGGCCGACGATGCAGTACGTGCCACTCTGCACGCAGCATACATCCCTCTACATTTCTCAGCCCGCTGCATGAGTCACATACAGTCATCATATAACCTCCGCGTTTCTCTCCCACCGTGCGGCAATGTTATAGGAGCCACTTTAAGTCAATGTAGGCGGCGTCCGTGGTTTAGACGTTGGGAGTCCGACTCGTAATCCAGCGTACCGCGATCGAAACCCACTGCTGGCTGCGTGGATTTTTATCATGGTTCAGGGCGTCGCAGGTCGACCCAGCTTAAAATGGGTACCAGGATGGCTGTGCTGGGGAAGTGAAGACGGTCGGCGTTTATCTGGCCACATTACCCACGCAGTGCCGATTGGTCTGTAAAAATATGGGACGCTCTTCCCATTTACCCGATGCGCCTAAGGCGTGAAAAGGGATCTTTACTTTATTTACTTTAGTCAATAGTAAGCCGGAAGACACAGTATTTAAATTAAATAGTTTTTAGATAGACACTTTCCGCTTTCCTCGTTTCTAGAGATACAGGTAGAGCAGTGATTCTCAACCTTTCTAAAACCGCGACCGTTTAATACAGTTCCTCATGCTGTGGTGATCGCGAACTATAACATTATTCTCGTTGCTACTTCATAAATTTAGGGAACATGAGTTTTAGGCGACCCCTATGAAAGGGTCGTTGCACCCACGAAAGGGTCGCCACCCACAGGTTGAGAACCGCTTATGTAGAGTATAAGATATTTTACAGTTCAATCCATACCATCAGGTATAGCCACGCAAGCGGCACTAAAACAACACTTGTAAACTTTGTCGTAAAGGCAGCATCTTGTAGCATCAGTTACAGCGTTGTTCGACGGTTCAACGACATCAATGAGATAAAATCCTTTATTCACCATCTGAAAAAGGCAGTGGGGTGCAATAATGACAGAGATATGAAAGTGTACAGTTTATTATTTGAGTTTCCCATTCTAAATACCTCGGCATCTGTGGCTTAGGCGTTGCTAACGCGCTTCGTAATGCCGGGGTGCCGGGTTCGATTCCAGCTGCGGACCTTGCGCCTTGCGTTGGTTTCGTTACAGTGGTATCGAGAAGCCGACCGTTCAGTAGCAGTGGCAAACTACTGGACGCAAATTTGCCTAGAAAAACCACAACAGCCAAAAAAAAAAAAAAAAAATGCTGTGGCTGGTTCTCAACTATTTTAAATACCTTATGAATATAAAGCATGGCTAACGAACATATTGCATCCCGAAGAAGAGGAGCGCACACGGTACCGCTTCTTGTGTCTTAATGACATGCAAACTGCAAATGCTTTTCCGCATTCATCATTATTATCGTCATCGTTATCATCATCATCATAACCAACACCACATCACCACCATCATCATCATTGTCATCATCATTATGTATCAGGTCCTTTTCCGAACATCTTGGCCAACTTTCCAGCCTCTTACATTTTATACCCACGCCTTTGTCTTTCCTGAAATTGTGTGCACACGTAAAAACAGCTGTAACCAGGTGCAACTACAATTTTTAGGTCTGTTTATTGACTGTCGCTAATCTCTGTGTGTGTTTTAGGTTTCCATTTTGAAGAAAGAAAAAAAGTGTTTCGTCTGCCAATCACCCCCCCCCCCGCCCCTCCCCCACCAACATGTGTGAGAGACGACTAATTAGGGACGTTTCCTTCGAAGTCAGAGTGTCTCTGCCTGAGAGGTAAGAAACTAACAGTTTGCAAGAAATAAGCTAGATCTATAAAACGAATGTACACGCAAAACTCAAGTTTTGAAATGAGACCAAAGTCCAGAAGTGGACGAACAACCAGATTTGGAGCACGAGGAATTAAGGCAGCATTACTTGCCAAACTATTTGTGAAGGCATGAATTATTATTATTATTATTATTATTATTATTATTATTATTATTATTATTATTATTATTATTATTATTATTATTATTATTATTTTTACATGTTTGCCCTCGACAAAAGAAACGTGCATAGCCTTACCGAGGATTCAAACCTGGACTTCCCCATGAGAGCCCTGTTGTAACCACTGAAACAGTCGTAGCATTTCTTAAACAACTTTTTGCTTCAACAATATTGTTTTTGCTGACACAATTAATGTTATATCTTTTTCAAAATATTTGAATGTACGGTCACTAATTACATATCATATAGTATGGAATATCGTGTATGGCAACAGGAAGAATTATGCACAATTTAAAATATTCCCTAAACATTTATTTAGAATTACCCACCACCTGTCCAAATAAAGCATGTAAGGATGAAATGAGACGCAAGTTTTGGATTGTTAAATAGTAAGCAGGATAATATACTGGTCTCTGTGCGCTTTTTATATACAGTAATTAGAGGCGTGCTATATTTCTAGTGAAAATTAACCGAACCATTGTCTTGAATGGTGTGATGTGGGAGAAAATGAGAGATACAATTAAAAAATACAAACGCCAAGTTAAATTAGGCAGAAGTTTAACCCGATTGCTCTGCAGATCAGGCTGAAAACTCTGGCTAGGGGTTCTAGGCTAGAGTGAAGGGAAAGGGCGCCGCAAAGCAAAACTATGCTTATATTACTTACAGTAAAAATTAAAGTCGGGAGATGGGAACCAGCGTCATTGCAGAGGTTATAAACCATAAGTGCTATGTCACCAATACGGACAGCTGATAAGAAACTGCCCGCCTGTGTCGCCGTCGGCTAAAGCGACGTTCCTCCATTCACCACAGAGTGTTAACTCTGGTACCCATTACCTAGAGGTCGGGTGAACTCCAACAACCGTTTGCTTTCGAACACCGGCCTTGTGCTGTGGCAGCTGGATTTGAAAGCGAGTCTCCTATCGACTGCGCTAACGCGGCCCGAAAATGTCCCTCCTCGCCAGGAACCGAACCCAGGACCTTCCAATCCGCGGGCAAGCGTCTAGCCGATACAGTTTCAAGCATGATGATAGAAGTGTTGGCTATCACTGCAGCTCTGTGGTGGATGTTGAAAACAGACTTAACTCTTTGAGTCTCAAACAATTCATAATGTGTGAATCACTCTATTTGCTGATTACCTTCCCTAGCTTAATATGTTCTCTTTTTTTTTTTTTTTTTTGGTTAGAACACATTAAAGAAATCTGGTTTGGTAAATGTTCACTACTGTTGTTATATTACTGTTTTGAAAGTAATACATTGCTGAATGTTAATCACGGATATTTTTTCACTGGCACCCCCCCCCCCCCCCCCATTCCCCCCCCCCCCCCGAAACCTTCTTCCCGTACAAAAAGATTAAAAAGATCTTAGTATGTAATTCTCAGTCGGTATTGGGGAGGATACAAATAAAGACATGTGTCATAAGTGGGTATCAAGCATCGCCCCGGTGGGCATTACAAGAACTCTCCTGGATATACTTCCGGGATATGCAGGAGTGTGGGTCAATAAACGTGCTGATTTTTGGCCACAAAGGCAACAACGGCAGCAACACTCATTGGAGAAATAAGAAGCTACAGGAGGTCATGGAAGATATATTAGATGAAAGGACGTTACAGGGAGAATACGCTTTGTTCATAACCAGTGTGCTAAAGGTAAAGGTGAAGTCAGGAGATGTGGACCAGCGTCTTTGCACACGGTTATAAACCATAAGTGCTCTGCCACCAGTACGAACAGCTGATAAGAAATGTCCGCCTGTGTCGCCGTTAGCACGTAACTCTGTAGCTACAGCGACGTTCCTCCATTTACCCCAGAGTGTTAACTCTGGTACCCATTTCCTAGAGGCTGGGTAAACCGCGGGAACCGCCCAGTTTTGAACACCGACCGTGGCTCCAGCGAGTCGCAGCCGGATTACGAAGCGAGCCTCTTATCAACTGCGCTAACGCGGCCCCAGTGTGCTACTGGATCACTTAGCATCTACACTTTAAAATGAGACGGGTCATCTATGGGCACACATTTTAATATTATAATGTCGATTTTTAACCCAGTAATACGCAAGTCAGTTCTCGGGATTTTAAAAGTAGATAAACAGATTAGGGCATGTGCAAGCGTGTGCTCTAATGAAACTAACAGACTGACCTCTTCTGCCAACCGTCCAGTTCCCATTCCGATGTGAAGAATGAGAAGCCTGTTTCTAGACTCGGGGAAAAGGTCGCACAGAAAAGCTACTGCTGTCTCCTGCACGGGGTCAGGACGTACCTCAGACCTCTGTTGGCGACGGTGTTTCATAAAATAAAAACACGTAAATATACATCAACTATGTAAACATTTTAAAATTTCGGCTACAAGTTGTACCACATTAAGTAAGAGTAGAAACATTGATGACTAATCAATCTATATAGGAACGAGACAGGTCAGAGATAATGTTTTGTCTAATCGATGCCAATAGGATTACCCTCTGAAGCAGGGAACTATTATGTTTTGAGGAATTATTTTAATTTCGATAGTTTTAAGCAAATATTATTCATCTTAAGGGGACTTTGGGGGCAGTGAATCCACATCAATCACCAGAATGGCAGACTTGGGAATTAAGATCGGCACAGCAAAAAACGAGACGCACACCAGACACGACAGAAGACTTGTTAATCAACACGGAACTGGTACTATTAGCCATCGGACGTTGGCATTCATACTGAGGGGAGGATCTGAGCACCTATGGACATGCCCGAAGTGTAATGATGATAACCCAACTAACTAACTAACTAACTAACTAACTAACTAACTAACTAACTAACTAACTAACTAACTAACTAAGTAACTAACTAAGTAACTAACTAACTAAGTAACTAACTAACTAACTAACTAACTAACTAACTAACTAACTAACTAAAACTAACTAACTAAGTAACTAACTAAGATATTATTCATCACTCTCTAGTCTATGTCTACATTATAAAGCAGTGGTTCTCAATCTGCGACCCTTTTGTGGGTCGAACGACCCTTTTACGTGGGTCATCTAAGACCATCGGAAAACACATATTCGTTGACGTTATGAACTAAAATAATTGTATGTTCGGGGGTTGCCACGACGCGAGGAAACTATTCAACGGAATGGAAGGGTAGACTGCGAGCCCTATAGGACATATATTGGTACTACAGGACAATGTCGATAATGATGCTCTGTACCGCGGTGGCCAGACACTTGCCCGCCCCCGCCCGTAAGATCTTTTCCACACCTATAGGCGTTTAGGGCATTTAGGGTTAGACCTATATTTTTAAAGACCAATCGGCACAAGATAGGTGATGTGGTCAGCATCACGCCGGCCGCCTTTATTTCCCGGAACTGCACCCGGTACCCACTCAAGGCTGGGAGTCAAGGTCATTTTTTTATAAAAAAAAAAGTCTGGCTCCGCCAGTTAGCGAACCCGCGACTTTCCGATCCGCACGCGAGCTACACGACGGCGACGGCCCCGACGATCTTGGTTGGCGGTAAATTGGGGATCGATTGTTAATGATAAATTCACAACTCACACTAGAGAAGCCCAAGATAATACAGGAAACCACGACACTAAACAACAATCCGATAACGGTGTCATGACAAGGTTACGGTTAGTTGCGTATGCTTTACAGGACGTTGCAGAACCAACCCAAACAGCCCATGGCTGTTGTGTGGTTTTTCTAGGCAAATTTACGTCCATTAGTTTTCCATTGCTACTGGACGGTCGGCTTTCTTGATACCACTGTCGAAACCAATGCAAGGCGCATGGCCCGCAGCTGGGACCGAACACGGCATCCCGGCATTACGAAGCGTTCGCATCGACTGAGCCGATGTCATGACAAGAGAAAGACAAAAAGTCAGCGCGACACTGGAAAACAAACAGCTGTAGACGAGAAATTACGCATACAGAACAAGATTAAAGCTTAAACAAAGATGGTTCAACAAAGTCAAAGAGATATTAATTCTCTAAATACGGGCTAGCTCACCACATGTTTATTAATTAATTAATACCTTTCTATTTTTTACATATTTATAAACTAATTCTGTCCAGTTCTTTTTCTTAAAGTCCATGTCGTGGGGCGCTTGTAGTAATATTTACCCACAACATTCTGTTTCGTGTATTTTTCAGTAAACTATGACGCAGATTATCCTAAGTGCCATGATGTCAAACATCTTTTCCCTAGTTCTTCCTCTGCCTCTCTTCCCCTCCAACTTTCCCACAGTCAGAATGTACTCCAGTTTTCTCCTTCTCATCACATGACCAAAGAATGTAGATTGTCTCTTTCTGATGCGATGAGTCAGCTTTCTTCGTGAGTCAGTTTCTTTTAAGACATCTTCATTGCTCTTTTTATTTGTCCAGTGTAATCTCATCATTCGTCTAAAAAACGACATCTCCACAGCTTCCAAAAAATGTTTCGCTTATCTATCAGCTGTTTAGAATTCACTTCCGTATATCAAGATAGAATTTTTATATCTTTTGAGAATTCTCTTTCTGGTCTCCAATGACAAAGAAAGATTGCATAAAATATTCTCCATTTTGTAAACATTTTCTTCGCTTGCGCTATTCTATATTTAAATTATCTAATACATCTTCCATCTGATGTTGTCAGTGAGCAGCTGACAGGTTTTCAATACTAAGTCTCGACTTTAACTGTACTTAACAGAGGATACCTCTATAGTCCCAATGGCTAGGACAACCTGCCCACTATGGGCACTGCTCTCATACAAAGAAATTGCCACCTACTGCTAGTATTTTGCTAAGAAAAGTCATGTCTGTCCATACGTACAGTAAGTCTGTAATAATAATTTATTCTCTAATAATTGGTGCATCACCTTGCGATGGTTTCGACAGTGGTATCAAGAAAGTCGACCGTCCAGAAAGCAATGGCAAACTACTGGACTTAATTTTGCCATTGCTTTCTGTATTGCCTTCGTATATTTATTTCAAACACAAGTAGTAGTATAATAAGTCACTTACCTGAGACATGCTTTATCCACTTCTGTTCTAGATATACACAAACACTGTACGCAGGAAAATAACCGACAAAGAAACAAACACTCAGGCTTGAAGTAATAAAAGCGCTCTGTTTGATCCTGTCTGCTGGTTCCGATCACAAAGTGCCTTAACAAACGGAGCAAGACAAAAGGGGATCTGTAAATCCTCTTGCTGTTTATACATAACATAAACACACACACACATACACACACACATACACACACACACATAGACACAATATACAATATAAGTCTGGTCCTGTATGTCTGATAGGCCTGGGGGCGGGGAAAAAGGGTGTCCTTAATCAGCAGAACTAAGCTCGATAGATCGATATGATACCAACACTCTACCACAAGTTCTCTTGTTAGAAAATACAGCCGTTGTCAGGATCAAAATTGCTCATGGATCAAATAGAACTAGGCGTTTGTGATATCTTGTTCTGATCTTATTAAAGCTAATCGACCGTAACCGTACTTAGCTATAAAAAAAAAGTAAAGGACCCATTTCCACGCCTTTAGGCGTATATGGCATATAGTTCTGAACCTATATTTTATAGACCAATCGGCACAAGATGGGTGATGTGGTCAGCAGCACGCCGGCCGCCTTTACTTTCCGGGACTGTACCCGGTACCCACTCAAGGCTGGGTCGACCTAGGAGCCAAGGTCATTTTTGGAAAAAGTCCGGCTCCGCCAGGGAGCGAACACACGACCGTACTTAGCTATGGTTAAATCTTAATAGTATTTCACTTGGATATCCAGCATTTTTGTTATCTAATCATCATTGTACTGATATTTTCACCTTGATTGGGAAGGTTGGGGGAAAAGCCCCAAGCTAACAATAATACCGAGAGAAGCCAGATAATCGGATTAACCGAGGTTTTCAAGATAGGTGATGACCACGAGTTATCACGTGTAACACAATGATAGCGACCACAGGTCGCCACGTGGAAGTAAAGGACCACCACGTGTTGCCACGTGAAACTATTACGGAGTATATGTTCAGGCCCTGGTCTGATCAAGTAAGTATGTGTTGAACTGTCGGAGTGAAAGGACGAGAGGTTGACTGAGAGAATGCCAACGTGAGACTGATTGATGTGAGAGGAAAACCAGACGACGACAGCCATTTGAAGCCAAGACCAGCCAGGCAATTCTGTATGATGTCAAGGAGAGGAACCAGATACATCTGTGTAAACTCTGGTCAGTGACTGTGTGAGAAACCAGCATGTTGAAGTCTGCGTAATGTGGTGTGTGAAAGCTGTTTACTAGGACAAGGACTGGACAACGATGTAAGTGTTAAGATGTCAATAAGCTGATGTATCGTACTGCTAAGTCCGTGTCGGCTTGTCCCAGTTATGTCAACGTAGAATGTGTGCTAAGAGCATTCACTACACATATCATCTTCTAGACGAGTCAGCGCTCATAGAAGCAGCTTATTGCAATCATCATGTTTAATGCCTGTATTTATTGCTTTATTTGGGACAGTATTGGACAAGGGTGAGGCTGGGAGGAAGGAGCGGGGGGATGGGGGGGGAGGGGGGGGGGTCCATGAGTGGTACAGAGAAAGACGGCTCCTGTCAGTCTGTGGATACCAGGCCTCATGTAAAGCTCAGTCACCACAAAATGGGCTGGCTAGAATCTTTTTTTGTGTGTGCCTTCGACGAAGAAAAGTATACACAACCTTTACTTATGATTAGAACCCCGATCTCTCGAGTGTTGTAATTAGACAGGGATATAATCCATTCCCGCTGCGACATTCGGTTTACATTATGATAGTGAAATTTCTGTGATTACCATAAGATTAAAGGTTTTACAATACGGGCCAAGATGGCGGAATAAGCTGCAGCTATCACTATGCAGTTTTGATAAATTTTGTTTTGGATGATTTCCCTAAAATTATTGTTCAAACAAGGATGATCCAACGACAGGCCCAGCAAGCCGGTAGAGAATTAGTTTGTTCAAGCACCATTGCTCAAGATTTATGGTGTATTTTGAAGAAAAAGCGCAATTACACCAGCGCTTCAAACCGCCACACACAAGACAGAGTCATGAAAGAAACACCGGCCAAGATAGACAGATCCGGCACGACAGTTTTTAAGATAGCTACATGGAACATTTGTGGTATGGGGGATAAAGTGGCTGAATTGGTTGAATTTATGATTAAGAGTAACATCAAAGTTTTGGGAATTGCTGATATCAGAACACCGGCCAAGATAGACAGATCCGGCACGACAGTTTTTAAGATAGCTACATGGAACATTTGTGGTATGAGGGATAAAGTGGCTGAATTGGTTGAATTTATGATTAAGAGTAACATCAAAGTTTTGGGAATTGCTGATATCAGAACACCGGCCAAGATAGACAGATCCGGCACGACAGTTTTTAAGATAGCTACATGGAACATTTGTGGTATGAGGGATAAAGTGGCTGAATTGGTTGAATTTATGATTAAGAGTAACATCAAAGTTTTGGGAATTGCTGATATCAGAACACCGGCCAAGATAGACAGATCCGGCACGACAGTTTTTAAGATAGCTACATGGAACATTTGTGGTATGGGGGATAAAGTGGCTGAATTGGTTGAATTTATGATTAAGAGTAACATCAAAGTTTTGGGAATTGCGTCCAGAAAATTCATAAGAACTTTGTTCTGATTTGGAAAGGGACTCAACCACAAGAAACTAACAAAGATGGAGTGGGTTTTATCATTGCTCCAGAAACAGCAAAATATTTACTAGATTCAGAATTCATGTCAGAGAGAATCATAAGTATCAGACTGGCTGCATGTAAAAGAAGAGTATCGTATATTCAAGTATATGCTCCTTGTAACGACACTTACACTGAAGAAGAAAGAACGGAATTTTTTTTACCAACTTAGTGAAACCATCAGTAAAGTTACAGACACTGATGGCTTGTATATGATGGGAGATTTCAACGGACATGTGGGAGAACGCCGACCTCCATGGTCCACATATATGGGACCATTTAGTGACAAAGAAAATAAATGTAACAACAATGGAGAACAATTACTCTATTTATGTGCAGAGCATGAACTAATTATCAGCAACACGATATACCAACATAAGAGAAGCAAGATATTGATCAGGTATAAATAGAATAATATTAACCAAGCATCACAGATAGATTTTATTCTCACAAAAAAGAGCGACAGATGGAGAATAAAGAACTCCAGGGCCATCCCAAATGCAATAATAGACTCTGACTATAGACCTGTAGTACTTTGGCTCTATAAACCAACAAGAATTTGCATTGAAAGAACACCACAGCTAATGGATCAGATAGCCATAGAGAAACTAAAAGACAAAGATGTGGCAATTCAAGTTGAGGAAACAGTTAAAAACACCTTCATTACTCTAGAGAGAGGAAATGACATAGAAGAAGAGTGGCAAATTCTTAAAACCTGCATCCTGAATGTAATGACGGAAAAGTGCGGACTCCGAAAGCCAAGAAGGCACATGAAACAAACAGCATGGTGGAATGAAGAAGTTAAAATTTCTATCAAAGAAAAGAATAAATATTTTCATCAGTGGCAAAAGTCCAAATTAGATGAGGACTTCATCAAATATAGAAAAGCAAGAGCAAAGAGCAAGACAAAGGTAAATTCGGCCAAATCAGAATCATGGGCAAACTACGGAGAACAATTAACAAGGCTATGCACTGATTCACCAGGTCAGTTCTACCGAAGCATCAAGGCTATGAGACTGAGAGAAGAGAAATTTAACCCATCAAAGATCATAAACAGCAAGGCTAAAAAAACCACTCACCAAATCCCAAGAGTTAAAAGAAGATGGCAAGAATATTTTTCTGAATTACTGAATAGTGGACCACAAGAACCAGTGTCTAAAAAAATAAAATTTTGACAAGAACAAGAACCTAATATATTAGAATCTGAAGTTGAAAAGATCCTAGAGCAAAGCAAAAGAAACAAAGCGGCCGGAACAGATGGTATTACAACAGACATCATACTTGCATGTAAAATGGCTGACAAGAATATTCAATGTGGCCTGGGAGGAAATGAAAGTTCCCGTTGACTGGCAGAGAGCAATTATAGTTCCCATATGGAAAAAGAAAGGTGATAAACGAGATTGTGAAATATACAGAGGTATCTCTTTATAAAGCCATGTAGGAAAGATGTTTGCAAAAATATTAGAACGAAGAGCGAGGGTGATATTACAACCTCAATTAAGTAACAACCAGTTTGGATTTAGAAAAGGAAAGAGCTGCACTGATGCAATATTTACTCTTCGGCGAATTTGTGAACAGACAATCGAATATAATAAACACCAGAATCTTATATTCATTGATCAAGAGAAGGCTTTTGACAGGGTTAACAGAAATAAACTATTTTTGAAGAATATGGTGTACCGGGTCAATTATTGGGAAACATAATGGCTCTCTATCAAAATAGCCAGAGCGCTGTAAGAACAACGGAAGGTATGACAGACTGGTTCCCCATTACATCAGGAGTACGACAAGGATGTGTCCTATCACCCCTACTCTTCATCACATATATGGATAAAATTGCCCAGGAGTCAAACCAAAACACAGATATTATAAATGAACTACTCTTTGCAGATGACCAATGTTTGTTACAAGAAGAAGAACAAAAACTACAACAACATGTTGATTCATTGCTCACTAACTGTACAAAATTTTACATGAAAATAAACACCTCAAAAACTGAAGTAATGACCATAGGAAAGAAACACAGTAATGTAAACATAAAGATCAATGACATACAATTAGAACAAGTTCAAGAATTCAAGTACTTAGGATGCATATTTACAGAAGATGGAAGACTCGATAAGGAGATACAGGCTGGAGTTCAAAAAGCCGATGCAGTCAACTACCAACTGGCCCCACTTCTTCGTCATCCAAAAATCTCGTTACCAACCAAACAACGGATGATCAACAGCATTTTCATCCCTACGTTATGTTATCAAAGCCAAACGTGGACAATGAACAAATCGCATATGCAAAAAATAACTACGTGTGAAATGCGATGTCTCCGAAGAGTCACCAACAATACACGAAGAGACAGAGTCACAAACGTCAGCGTTAGAGACAAAGTTGGAACAAGAGCATGCATGGAACATATTGAAAGACAGGGAATGAAGTGGTTTGGCCATTTAGTAAGAATGCAACCGGATCAGATTGCCTATAAG